TGGGGGTATTTAAAACCATTTTAACACCATACAGTTCCCATTATCCATCAAAATATTAAAACATCACGGATCACTTTTGCCAATTCAACAACAACAGTCAGGGGCGTAGGAAGCTTCGAAAAGTTGGGAGGGCCAGGCTTTGAGGGGCACTTTTCGAAAAAACGGCATCAAAAAATTTTCCCCCGGAAATGTTGGCGACGGGGGGAGGTCATCTCAAAAAATTTTAACGGACATACCAAAAAAAATTTTACGGACATACAAAAAAAGATCTTCCGGATATATGATATTTTTCCTGGAAATTAAAAATTTTTTCCGGAAATAACATAGATTCAAGTTTTCAAAAGTGCCCTTTTGGGCAAAGAATGCAATTTTAATGAAAATATTTCACGCAAAAAAATGACACTTTGCTCCCGGAAAAAGGGCACTTGCCAAAACTTGGAGGGGGCTGGCCCCCTGCCGCCCCCGGTTCCTACGCCCTGACAACAGTAGATTTTACAAACTTTCTTACGACGTAAATAGGAAGAAATTATGTCGGTTGTAAATAGCACCACATTATTTTTATGAACCTACACGGCCTTATATAAAAATAGTAAAGCCGCGTTAATTTTACCTAGCCGTGTTTTTCCACTGTTGGCCGCGATAACACGGCCAACACGGCCCTCTAGCTAAGACCCTGATCTCTGCATTGTCGCATTCGCTCAAAAGTAACTATTTTACCAAAATGTTACTGAAAGATACCCTTAACCAAATGAAGCAGTGTTTTCTACAACGCAAAAAATTTATAATTTTGTCTTGAAAAACATTCACGTAGCTACAAAAAATTAGCTTGTCCAGATCAGCCCACGGGCTGCGGGTTCATTCAATCTTTTTGGTAAATTAGAATGTTAACGTCTGCAGCAGGTTTACCTAACGTAGAATATGCAATCCCAATATGTTACTCCTCACTTGCCCTGAAAAGAAAGGCAAGACGTTATTTACTTACATTTGGCTGCATTTGAAGAGCTGGCTCATCCACACGAGCAAAATATGTTTTTCGTCGAAAGTAGCAAACAACTCCAAGTACAAATGCCAAGACAGCGGTTATCAAAAGAACGATGATTATAATGATAACGACATCGACACCATCGGTAGTGACTGAATGAAATAGAAAGTGAGAATGATAAAATAAATCCAGCAATCAGTAAAGGAAAACATTTCTAAGGCCATAGGCGTACGAGACAGGGGGTAGGGGGGGGGGGGACCATGGACATTCGGGAAAATTCTAGAAAATATCAAGAAAATTCGGACAGATTTATCAGAAAATAGTTTAGATTCAGGTAATTTCATTACAATCCTCCATAAAAATTCGAGCAAACTTCAACTCCCCCCCTGGAAAGTATCAGCCCCGTACGCCTATGGCTATGGCTAAGGCGAGACCTAACCGGCTAACCTTGAAGTGTGAACAAGGCTTCAGACCTGCAAATGTCTGCTTAATGTTCCTTGGAATTTGCCTTTTTCAAATGTTCCCGTTTTGTTCTGGTTACAAAAATTAGACGAGGTTTTTTACATGAGATATGTTTTGAAACTATTTCTAACTGCATGTTTTGCTTGCATTGAACTATTTTATTAATTTCGAGCTTTAGTACAAATTGTTAAAAAATAATAGGTTTTTTGTATTTTTTGTTCAATCAAAATTGGCCGTCCAAAAGACGGCTGGCTGGCTAAGACCCTGGCCCAAGCCCCAGCGCTGTCAGTAAATTGTCAAAAGGTCGTACGAGGTTGTAGGTTCGATTCCCACCGTGGCCAGGCATATTTTTCAAGCTTGCCCGGTGAGGATATACACTCTGAGTAACATCACAAGCATCATATTCACCTGAGTACATAACACCAACACAGAACAAAATCAAGATTACTAGATTGCATCGATATCGAAGGAACTAGACTCAGTTCCAAAATATCACATAGTCGAACCGACCTGACCGCGTAGCTCAGTTGGCAGAGCATTGGGCTAGTATTCCAAAGGTCGTAGGTTCGATTCCCACCGTGGCCAGGCATATTTTTCAAGCTTGCCCGGTGTGGATATACACTCAGAGTAACACCACAAACATCATATTCACCTGAGTACATAACACCAACGGAGAAAAAAATCAGATATGATGAACATGCAAAATAAATTCAACAAAATGTCCGTTTTGAATGTCAAACAATTTCCCAATTTAAGGACTCTCAAGTACTTCTTTACAAATTCAAGGATATTCAAGGCCTTGATTTTTTGTTTCAGTTTCAAATTCAAGGGCTGTCAAGTTTTGTACGAACCCGGCAGACAAAGATTTGATCAAATTGTTAACAGTGATAGCACCAAAAAGGTAACGAAACATCCAATAATTGTTTGTACAACAGAACTACATAAAGGCTTCATTTCACCAACTTTTTTTTTCAGCGAGCAGTCTTCTTCGGTTTTCTATGATTGTGTGACCCCTACCTCCCTGAGCCTAACCTTAACGCGGGGAAATATCTTATCTAATGAACAGATGTATGATGATATACATCATAGAAAATAAGAAACCATTTTGCGATGAGGTGCGAAATTTTGTAGAAAAAGGCACTAATAAAGCATGCGCATGAAACAGGGTTTGTAAATTAAAAATACATGAAAAGAAATAAAAAACGAAAAATGGAGGTTTTTAGTAGGATGGTTGTAAAATGTTTATAAATCATACATCGTTGTATTATTCAATCTGATATTCTACAATGATTTTCAAGAATTACAAAGCATTACCCTTCATTGTTTCCACTTGAAGAACATTTGATTTCCTTTGACCAACACCATATCTGTTTTCACTGAACATTGTTAAATTGTACGTTGTCTCAGACTCCAAGTTACCGAGGGTTACGCTTTTTCTTTTGCCAGAAACCATTGAGACATTTCGCGACATGTTGCTTGAAGTATGCCAAATCTGAACGTGATAAAACTCAATTTCAAAGTGCTCAGGACGTTCCCAGGCAATAGTGATGCTGTCTGGCTCGGTATCGATGGCAACTAGATCAGTTGGTGGTGCAGGTGGTGCTAAAGAGACAAATTATAACGAGTTAATAAGAACTGCCTTTTATTTTCCAAAAGTAGCCCTATAGTGGCGACTGAGAAAAAATTAAAATGTTAAAATGTTCTAAAGCCTAAAATACATCTCAGTATCTCAAGTATTTTATTCTCCTTTTGCATATAATTTGCCAACGTTACGTTATCTCGAGTCTGGATGCATCAAATCCCGATTTTTACCCATAGATCGTACATTGGCTGATTGGGATCACCTTAGAATATATGCATGAACTTGCGGTTAGAGCTCGACAACTGCACGGGCTCTGTAGAGTTGGTTAGAGCGCTGCACCGGAATCGTGGGGGCCGCAGGTTGAATTTCTGCCAGAGGGCCGACAGTTGCATTTTTTTTACATAAACACAGTTACTTTAAAGAATGCTTACCATGGACAATAAATTGCTTGGGAAAAAGTCTGCCATCTTCCAATGCTCTGTAAACATCAGCAGCAAGCTTCGCAATGTCCCGAGGTTCACGTCCATAAATCTTATCAAGGTTCTTCTCTTTCCATGTCAAATCAAAATGCACACTCCCACTGCTAAAAAAATATTTATATAGAAATATACATTGTATTTTTCTTATTATCTCCGTCATACAGGAGTCGGCCCGGTCCTTCTTTTAGCGAGCATTTCGGCTTTTTTCTCAAAAAAGCTTTTGAAATTTACAAAATCTTGCAAAAATGAAATGTATTTACTATTTACAAAAAATGTTTGTTATTTCGCTGTCGTCATGCAGTCGTTACAATACAAATTTTAAATTTGCCCAACATTGTTCGCTATTCATGACGGTCCGCTATATTTAGAGTTCAGTGAGGATGACCACCCACGAATAGGCCTTTATAGATTGTCATTGTGCTCGGCAACTTGTGAGCAACTTTTGGAGTTTTGAGCAACTTTTTGCCTTTCGAGCAATCTCAAGCAACTTTTACTCATGTCTGGAGCAACTTTTGACTGTTTAAAATTAAGCACCAAATGAGCAACTTTCAATCTTTTTAAGCACGGAATGAACATTTGGGGATATAAAAAGATTAAATCAAATATTTAATTTAATTTAATTTAATGAAATAACAAATTTTGGCAATAGAGAATGTTGTAGGCTGTAGAGATCAATTTTTTCCGTGTTGGTGTAATGTATTCAGGTGAATATGATGCTTGTTATGTTACTCTGAGTGTATATCCACACCGGGCAAGCTTGAAAAATATGCCTGGCCACGGTGGGAAGGCATATTTTTCAAGCTTTCCCGGTGTGGATATACACTCAGAGTAACATCACAAGCATCATTAGAGATCAATGTTAATGTGCGCCAATTAATCCCATTGGACAACGGACAGCAGTAATCATTTACAGCGGTTATGTCCTTGATTCTGTCCTTGGCGATTAGTGACATATTACGTTGTGGCCTCAGTTATGATATGATAGGGTACAATAGTCAATAGTGCAAAGAGATAGTAAGCAATACGAACTACCTACAGGGTGTATAAAAAGCGGGACCTTTGGAAGCCAGAATTAACCTAATATCAGCAATTTCTAAAGGTCTCGTTTTGTCTGGTACACGCACCCTGTATCAAAGGCACTCATAGCACAAAGAGGGGCACATGCAGACATAGCTACTGTACAGTGTGAAATAGATTCGAACTGGTAATAATTAGACACTGAGTTTATTTAACTGATTTAATATTATGTTCTATTGCTCAAAGTTTAAATTTTACATTCTATTAATTTAATACTATTATAGTTCTAAGCAAAATTTATGTTATTTTGTGTTGTTTATCGATAAAAACGTTGCGACAAAGCTAGCAAACATTTTGAATTTTGGCGGCAACTATTTTAATTTTGGGTAACTTTTGAGCAACGTTTCCCCATTTTTTTTAGCAACTTTTGCTCAAATTAGGAGCACAATCAATGACAATCTATAAAGGCCTACCCACGAACGGTAACGATGAACCTTATTGATGAACTTTAGACTTCGCTAACGCTTTCCTTTCTCCGGGGGTAAATAACCGTGCGGAATTAGTACCCTGGACCCAGTTATGATATGATAGGGTACAATAGTGCAAAGAAAGTACTCAAAAAAGTATTATAGTTCTAAGCAAAACGCCCGGAACGCTTACGCCTAGAACGGCAGTCCGTGCCGTTCGCTCGGGGATAATAGTAACCACAAGAGCCTTTATATCGACAATAAGAATTTTAGTTAAACTAAGCTATCGTTTTTACGAAGCTTTGAAGCGCGAAGAAAAGAAATCTACATGAGAATTGGGCAACTACCTGTATTATATTTACATCTGACTCACTAACCTCTAACAGACCATGCGTCATCTAGTTTATAAAGAAACATGGTACAGAACTCGGAGACTGCACACTTCTGGCAGCGAATTAAATCATGCATCATGCTTAAATTATACAATGGGCTAATTATTACACACTCTGTTTACTCATCCCGGCAAAGCTGGACAAACTTTTGCTACCTTCTCATACAATTTTTATCCAAATTTAATCCCCGAGCCGACGGCGCGAAGCGCCGTGCGAGGGTACTAATTCCCCCCGGCTATATACACCCGGGATAAGGATCGCACTAGCGAAGTCTAAAGTTCATCAAATATCGCGGGCGCGGTTCATGGGTGGTCATCTCACTGATCTCAAAATATGGCTGGTTGCCAGGAGTGAAGAACGGTAAAATTTAAAAAATATATGTAAGAAAGCTTGGAAAATCGTTTCACATCACAAATTGTAAAACTTTTCTTCAATTTTTAAAGGTAAACATTAACTATAAGAATTGATTTAGTATGATAAATTTTAAAGTATAGGGCAAATTTGTTTCAATTGTTTATGTATGCATGACTTTGTATTAATATTACATTAAAATAAAGCCCATAGAAACCAAAATAATATACCTACTTTATGTAGTTTAGAAATTGATAGTTCTGTATTTAAAAGTGTTCAATTTCATCTACTTTTTGCAGGTTTGTACAAAAAAATTTTTAAAAGGTTATCGTGTTGCCATGACTAACATGACGTGCAACGCGAGCCTGCGTTCAGTGTTGGCTTATTTACGAATACTTCGTGTTAAAACAATGTATGGAGAATATAGGCGAGGGGTTGTTGCATGCATGTATTTCTAGTTAATTTTTTCCTTGGGCAATGTCGGTTAGCCCCACAAATTTTCGTATTACGTTTGATATTTTTAATAATCATGCTCCCAGACAAACAGACACACATCCAATTGCGGATGAAAACATAACCTCTTGGCGGAGGTAAATATATTATTAAATAAATTAGAAAACTTACTATGTGTTGATAGACGTTATATTTAATGAGTGGTAGAGTTTTTTAGCCTGGAATAAAGATCGAACCTGTAAATGACATGAAAAGTATATATATAGTAAGTACGTTGGCCAACATATTAGGAAGCTTTAGATTTGTCTACGGCTACGAGATCTAGTACGTCTACGAGATTTTCCCGTTAAATTTCTGCTACTTGAGACTTGCTATCGTTCTTTCTTTGGGATAGAACATCTTTAAAACAACACTTGACCCAAACTACGTACAGTTTTAAGCTTTTTGGAGCAGATATTTAACGGAAAAATCTCGTAGGCGTAATACGGGGCAAAATGCGACGGCTGTCATAAAATTGCAAGGAAGTATATTTAAATGCTTTTTTCAACATTGATATGTTAAGTAGAGTCAAGTGAACCAATTCAATGCAAAATATATGTTATTGAGGTAATATTGTGAGACTAATACAAGAAAAACGAACGGAAGTTAATGTCTCATTTTGCCCCAGTGACCTGGGCAAAATGAGACAGATATAAAATATACTGAAATTTATTTAAAATTATTTAAATGGTATAATAAACTAAGTTTAAAAGTTCATTAGCAGTCATACACAATGGTCATATAGTACAGTTGTTGGTGTTACAGAGCAACAGCACTCTTCATGTAACCAGTATTTGCACTCGGAAGACTGGACCCAATCCTCTCCCAGTGATGACTCCGTCCAAAATCCATCACATATTGGACATTGTGAATCTTCCACAATGTAGTGCTAACATTCTGAGTTTTCTTTGATTACCTGGTATCCATCTTAGCTCTCTTGGCCTTAAATTAGGGCCTCTTTTAAGGATGTGTAACTGGAGGGGACATATTTATTGGGGGACCTGGAAAAGTTCCAGTCGGCAAATCTGTATCACGGCAGCTACCAGCATATATATGCATGATTTAACTAATAAGTATGCGCCATAGGGCAGAAGATCAGGTCGTAACTGAGATTTTGAGACAACCGAGTCGACCACCGAAGATGCGAGCCTCTAGAGGGGTCTGGGGGCATGCCCCCCAGAAAATTTTGGATTTCTTGAAGCTCAGATAAACTATTTCCAGTATTTTGAGGAGTTTTCCAACACGAAATTAACCTTATAAACAGTGACACAATTACTGCAATTTCACAGTCTCCCAAATGTAATCCAGTCCCAATAATTAAGGCAACATGGTGTGATGATGCGGTAATGAAAATGTGTGTTGTATGGTATTATCATTCACCACACTTCAAATTCTACAGTACTGTATGATATGTATTGGGGTATTTGAAATCGACGCATTCATATTCTCAGTGTCACTGAAGAGAATGATAGGATGGTCTCTTTGAAGTATCTTTGCTTGGAAAAACTAAACTAGAATTTCGTCCTAAAATGCCATTTCATGCCTTGTTGCACGAGCAAATTATTTCAGTCATGGTTTAGGTTTCTGGTGATGTTTAAATTTCAGTCCCCAAATTCTGGCCTACCGAGTCAACTGACTCGGTTGACATATAGCTAGTTATGTGCCTGCAGATGATGGTCAAATTCAGAAATTTAACACCATGTTCTCACTTAACATCATTTGACCATGTTTTCAACAAGAGACTGATTGTATGGTGAACTGGTGACTATCTCAGACTCTTCCGACCACTTTGACTTTTCTCCTCCGTGAAGATAGCTCACCTTGGTCTACCACAGGTGGTTCTTTGGGACAGGTGGTGAATTTCTGGACTCTAAGGGGACAGGTAGTATTGGTGCTCTTTCTTCAATCACAGATGATGATTCTTTGGATTGAGCTTCAAATGATGATGGTTTGTCATGACTTGCACTCTGTGTTGCTGTGTTCCAGTCTTCGAAGGGACAACTTAAAGGCCCGTTTACACTTGCAATTTTTGTTGCGAATTTAGGTGCGACTTTTTTCTCCTGATGTATGTGAACGAGTGGATGAGTTAGTAATATTTTGATGAGGCCGTGCATATATTCAGAGTATTCATAACTTATTCGCTCGTTTACATCCATGAGAGGAAGAAAATCGCACTACAAATCGCAGCAAAAATTGCAAGTGTAAACGGGTCTTAAGGTAACGCCCCAAATGTCTCTTGTCCGTAGATAAATTTTTCAGCTTACCTTTGACTCTATGATTTAGGGAATCCTTTGGAACTCAAGACAATATCACCTTTTCTTATAGTTGCGGGAACCACTGAGTATTTTCATAAAATACAATACAACGGTAACTCCGAATAAAGTAAGCATTTTGATTCAACGTTTCGACTTTATTTAGTCATCATCAGGAATGATTATATTAGATATGCATGCGTTATACAGGGTGTATAAAAAAAACTGAACAGACTTGAAATTGCTCTCAATGTCGCAAAACAGCTATTAGTATCCAGTTTTTTATGTATATAGCTTCTTTGGGTACTTATAATGTAGAACAATAAAAAAAATTTCTCGAACTCACATTTTGTGAACCAGGGGTGTGTGTATTCTCCAACAAACTAAAAATGGCTTGCGCACGAAATTTAAAAGCTTTAATCATATTTTGAGTTAATAGATGGAAAATGTGTTGGGTTTTTAATTACTGTACAAAATTTCAGACAATTTGCTTTAGTTTAAGCTCTTTAACTATTCACGCAAACTTACATTTTTTTCCAAAAAAATCAGCTATTTGCATGCTAATTAATGCTTTGCCTAATTTACATATGTCAGCAATATGCAAATTAAATTAAATATAGGCATTAATTAAGCATGCGAAAGGCTGATTTTTTAGGGAAAAATGAATAGTTAAAGGACTTACTGAAGCAAATTTTCTAAAATTTTGTACAGTAATTAAAAACCCAACAAATTTTCCATCTATTAACTCAAAATATGATTAAAGCTTTTAAATATATTTCGTGCCAAGCCATTTTTAGTTTGTTAGAAAAGACCCCCTATTCATTACTCTACATTATAAGTACCCAAAGATACTATATACATAAAAAATTGGATACGAATGGCCGTTTTGCGAAATTGAGAGCAATTTCATATCTGTTCAGTTTTTTTTTATACGCCCTGTATATAATACTCTACATAATTTGATATAATTAAAAGAAAACCAATAGCTCTCTGGATGCTTTAGTGCCAAGATTCAGTTCCGGTTTTTGTCGATGAATGGCGAGTGCTTCTTTGAACAGCAGATTTGACCAGTGCTTAGCCCTATCTATGATGTCGCAGTTGTTCAGTAGGAAGGCTGTTAACGTCAAATTGGTCAGTGTTGGGTTCGTCTATGTTAAGTTGTAATAGATTTGTAATAGATAGTTAAATTGTTCGCAAGTTAAATTGTTATAAACACATGAAAGTGAGTCATGCAATAATGACCGTTCCCTAAAATTGCACTAAATAAGCAAATGTACATGCATGCATGCATGCACTGTACTAGAGAAAGGTTTTGCAGTCCTGGACAATTTTGTCAGACAGATTGCCTCCCTTCTTCTCTGGCTACACAATATTATAATTTCACATACAGTACCTTTCTACGAACCATATCTTCTAAATCTGGTGGCACATTCTGCAAAATTACTTCAAACGAATACGTCTGCACTAAAGTGACAGAAAGCTGTTATAAACTCGATGACTTAACTGTGTCCCCATACTATAAATAGTTTCAAAATTACAGGGAACTCATACATCACA